CAGCCCCATAGGATCCCATCATTAAGACCCAATCCCGCCCCATAGGACCCCATGCAGCCCCATAGGAGCCCACCCTGCCCCATAGGCCCGCCCCATAGGGACCCATCCAGCCCCATAGGAGCCCTCCCTGCCCCATAGGACCCCATCCAGCCCCATAGGAGCCCACCCCGCCCCATAGGCCCGCCCTATAGGACCCATTGCAGCCCCATAGGACCCCATTCAGCCCCATAGGATCCCATCATTAAGACCCAATCCCGCCCCATAGGACCCCATGCAGCCCCATAGGAGCCCACCCCGCCCCATAGGATCCCATCATTAAGACCCAATCCCGCCCCATAGGACCCCATCCAGCCCCATAGGCCCACCCCATAGGACCCCATCCCGCCCCATAGGACCCCATTCAGCCCCATAGGATCCCATCATTAAGACCCCATCCTGCCCCATAGGAGCCCATCCAGCCCCATAGGACCCCATCCCGCCCCATAGGATCCCATCATTAAGACCCAATCCCGCCCCATAGGACCCCATGCAGCCCCATAGGACCCCATCCAGCCCCATAGGAGCCCACCCCGCCCCATAGGCCCGCCCCATAGGACCCCATTGAAGCCCCATAGGACCCCATCCAGCCCCATAGGAACCCATCATTAAGACCCCATCCAGCCCCATAGGAGCCCACCCCGCCCCATAGGACCCCATCCCGCCCCATAGGATCCCATCATTAAGACCCAATCCCGCCCCATAGGACCCTATGCAGCCCCATAGGACCCCATCCAGCCCCATAGGACCCCACCCCGCCCCATAGCCCCGCCCCATAGGGACCCACCATGGCCGACACCACCCTGGCCACCATCACTGGGTCCCCCCGGGCGCTGTGGGGCATCCCTCGGCGGTCCAGGATGAAGAGGCAGGCGTCGAGCACCCCCTGCTCGAACTGGGGCAGAGACACGGCAATGGGGCGGACCCATAGCAATGGGGTGGACCCATAGCAATGGGGTGGACCCATAGCAATGGGGTGGACCCATAGCAATGGGGTGGACCCATAGCAATGGGGTGGACCCATAGCAATGGGGCAGAGACACGGCAATGGGGCGGACCCATAGCAATGGGGCGGACCCATAGCAATGGGGCAGACCCATAGCAATGGGGCAGAGACACGGCAATGGGGCGGACCCATAGCAATGGGGCGGACCCATAGCAATGGGGTGGACCCATAGCAATGGGGTGGAGCCATAGCAATGGGGTGGACCCATAGCAATGGGGCAGACCCATAGCAATGGGGTGGACCCATAGCAATGGGGTGGACCCATAGCAATGGGGCAGAGACACAGCAATGGGGTGGACCCATAGCAATGGGGTGGACCCATAGCAATGGGGTGGACCCATAGCAATGGGGAAGAGACACAGCAATGGGGTGGACCCATAGCAATGGGGCAGAGACACAGCAATGGGGTGGACCCATAGCAATGGGGCGGACCCATAGCAATGGGACAGAGACACGGCAATGGGGTGGACCCATAGCAATGGGGCGGACCCATAGCAATGGGACAGAGACACGGCAATGGGGTGGACCCATAGCAATGGGGCGGACCCATAGCAATGGGGCAGAGACACGGCAATGGGGCAGACCCATAGCAATGGGGCAGAGACACGGCAATGGGGTGGACCCATAGCAATGGGGCAGAGACACAGCAATGGGGCAGACCCATAGCAATGGGGTGGACCCATAGCAATGGGGCAGAGACACGGCAATGGGGCGGACCCATAGCAATGGGGCAGAGACACGGCAATGGGGCAGACCCATAGCAATGGGGTGGACCCATAGCAATGGGGCAGAGACACAGCAATGGGGCAGACCCATAGCAATGGGGCGGACCCATAGCAATGGGGTGGAGCCATAGCAATGGGGCAGAGACACAGCAATGGGACGGACCCATAGCAATGGGGCAGAGACACGGCAATGGGGCGGACCCATAGCAATGGGGCGGACCCATAGCAATGGGGTGGACCCATAGCAATGGGGCAGAGACACAGCAATGGGGTGGACCCATAGCAATGGGGTGGACCCATAGCAATGGGGAAGAGACACGGCAATGGGGCAGACCCATAGCAATGGGGTGGACCCATAGCAATGGGGCAGAGACACGGCAATGGGGCGGACCCATAGCAATGGGGTGGACCCATAGCAATGGGGCAGAGACACGGCAATGGGGCAGACCCATAGCAATGGGGCAGAGACAAGGCAATGGGGTGGACCCATAGCAATGGGGCAGAGACACAGCAATGGGGTGGACCCATAGCAATGGGGCAGAGACACGGCAATGGGGTGGACCCATAGCAATGGGGTGGACCCATAGCAATGGGGCGGACCCATAGCAATGGGGCAGAGACACGGCAATGGGGTGGACCCATAGCAATGGGGCAGAGACACGGCAATGGGGCGGACCCATAGCAATGGGGTGGACCCATAGCAATGGGGCAGACCCATAGCAATGGGGTGGACCCACAGCAATGGGGTGGACCCATAGCAATGGGGTGGACCCATAGCAATGGGGCAGAGACACGGCAATGGGGCGGACCCATAGCAATGGGGCAGAGACACGGCAATGGGGCGGACCCATAGCAATGGGGCGGACCCATAGCAATGGGGTGGACCCATAGCAATGGGGCGGACCCATAGCAATGGGGCAGAGATACAGCAATGGGGTAGACCCACATCAATGGGGTCAGACCCACATCAATGGGATCAGACCCACATCAATGGGGCAGACCCATGGCAATGGGGTAGACCCACATCAATGGGGTCAGACCCACATCAATGGGATCAGACCCACATCAATGGGATCAGACCCACATCAATGGGGCAGACCCACATCAATGGTGTAGACCCACATCAATGGGGCTGACAGACATCAATGGGGCCAGACCCACAACAATGGGATCAGACCCACATCAATGGGATCAGACCCACATCAATGGGGCAGACCCACATCAATGGGATCAGACCCACATCAATGGGGCCGGACCCAAATCAATGGGGCAGATCCACATCAATGGGGCAGACCCACATCAATGGGATCAGACCCACATCAATGGGGCCGGACCCAAATCAATGGGGTAGACCCACATCAATGGGGCAGACCCACATCAATGGGGTCAGACCCACATCAATGGGGCCGGACCCACATCAATGGGGCAGACCCACATCAATGGGGCCAGACCCACCCCAATTTTGGGTCAAAACCCAACGATTTTGGGTCCTTTTGACCATTTATGGAGTCTCCAACCCCATTATGACGTTTTCAACCCTAATTTTGGGTCAAAACCCAACGATTTTGGGTCCTTTTGACCATTTATGGAGTCTCCAACCCCATTATGATGTTTTCCACCTCGATTTTGGGTCAAAACCCAACGATTTTGGGTCCTTTTGACCACTTACAGCATCTCCATCACTCGTAGACCCCGTACCACATCAATATGGGGTGTCCCCTTCCAACCCCCATTTCCACCTCGATTTTGGGTCAAAACCCAACGATTTTGGGTCCTTTTGACCATTTATGGAGTCTCCAACCCCATTATGATGTTTTCCACCTCGATTTTGGGTCAAAACCCAACGATTTTGGGTCAAAACTCAACGATTTTGGCTCTTTTTGACCATTTATGGAGTCTCCAACCCCATTATGACATTTTCCACCTCGATTTTGGGTCAAAACCCAACGATTTTGGGTCCTTTTGACCATTTATGGAGTCTCCAACCCCATTATGACGTTTTCAACCCTAATTTTGGGTCAAAACCCAACGATTTTGGGTCCTTTTGACCACTTACAGCATCTCCATCACTCGTAGACCCCATACCACATCAATATGGGGTGTCCCCTTCCAACCCCCATTTCCACCTCGATTTTGGGTCAAAACCCAACGATTTTGGGTCCTTTTGACCATTTATGGAGTCTCCAACCCCATTATGACGTTTTCAACCCTAATTTTGGGTCAAAACCCAACGATTTTGGGTCCTTTTGACCATTTATGGAGTCTCCAACCCCATTATGACGTTTTCAACCCTAATTTTGGGTCAAAACCCAACGATTTTGGGTCCTTTTGACCATTTATGGAGTCTCCAACCCCATTATGATGTTTTCCACCTCGATTTTGGGTCAAAACCCAACGATTTTGGCTCTTTTTGACCACTTACAGCATCTCCATCACTCGTAGACCCCGTACCACATCAATATGGGGTGTCCCCTTCCAACCCCCATTTCCACCTCGATTTTGGGTCAAAACCCAACGATTTTGGGTCCTTTTGACCATTTATGGAGTCTCCAACCCCATTATGATGTTTTCCACCTCGATTTTGGGTCAAAACCCAACGATTTTGGGTCAAAACCCAACGATTTTGGCTCTTTTTGACCACTTACAGCATCTCCATCACTCGTAGACCCCGTACCACATCAATATGGGGTGTCCCCTTCCAACCCCCATTTCCACCTCGATTTTGGGTCAAAACCCAACGATTTTGGGTCCTTTTGACCATTTATGGAGTCTCCAACCCCATTATGATGTTTTCCACCTCGATTTTGGGTCAAAACCCAACGATTTTGGGTCAAAACCCAACGATTTTGGGTCCTTTTGACCATTTATGGAGTCTCCAACCCCATTATGATGTTTTCCACCTCAATTTTTGGGTCAAAACCCAACGATTTTGGGTCCTTTTGACCATTTATGGAGTCTCCAACCCCATTATGACATTTTCCACCTCGATTTTGGGTCAAAACCCAACGATTTTGGGTCCTTTTGACCACTTACAGCATCTCCATCACTCGTAGACCCCGTACCACATCAATATGGGGTTGTCCCCTTCCCACCCCCATTTCCACCCCCATTTCGGGTCGAAACGGCACGTTTTTGGGTGCGTTCGGCTCGTCTCGGTGTGCCCGCGGCGTTGAGGGCGTTTTTTGGGTGGAAAAAGGGCGTTTTTGGGTGTTTTTGGTGGGTTTTTTTTTTACCTGCCCGTAGTTCCAGGAGCGCTCGACGATCTGGTCCTCGGTGCCGTAGAAGATGCGCCCGCTCTCGTTGAGGACGTACTCGGCCAGGTCCGACGTGGGCTCCATGAACACCGAGTCCTCTGGGGGGGGGGGGGACGGACCCATAGGGGGCTCATTGAGACCCATAGGGAACCATAGGGACACATAGGGAACCATAGAGACACATAGAGACCCATAGGGAACCATAGGGACCCATAGGGAACCATAGAGACCCCATAGAGACCCCATAGGGTCTCATAGGGACCTATATCAACAGACAGAGACCCCATAGGGACCCATAGAGACCCATAGGGACCCATAGGGACACATAGAGACCTAGAGGGACTCCATAGAGACCCATAGGGACCACAAGAGATCCACAGAGACCCACAGAGACCCCATAGAGACCCATAGAGACCCCATAGGGACCCATAGAGACCCATAGACACCCCATAGAGACCCATAGGGACCCATAGAGACCCATAGACACCCCATAGAGACCCATAGACACCCCATAGAGACCCATAGACACCCATAGAGACCTATAGAGACCTATAGAGACCCATAGAAAGCCCATAGAGAGTCATAGAGACCCCAAAGCCTCCTTTTTGCTCCAAACTGCCCTTTTTCACCCCAAAAATGCCCTTTTCCCCAAAAAATGCCCCTTTTTTGCCCAAATCTGCCCTTTTTTCCCTCCAAAAATGCCCCTTTTTTCCCCAAATCTGCCTTTTTTTCACCCAAAAAGCCCTTTTTACCCAAATCTGCCCTTTTTTCCCTCCAAAAATGCCCTCTTTTTGCCCAAATCTGCCCTTTTTTCACCCAAAAACACCTTTTCACCCAAAAAATGTCCTTTTTCCGCCCAAAATGCCCCTTTTTTGCCCAAATCTGCCCCTTTTTCCCCAAAAATGCCTCTTTTTTTCCCAAATCTGCCCTTTTCCCCCCCAAAATGCCCCTTTTTTGCCCAAAAATGCCCTTTTTCCCCCAAAAATGCCCCTTTTTTTGCCCAAATCTGCCCTTTTTTCACCCAAAAACCCCTTTTCCCCAAATAAATGCCCCTTTTCCCCCCAAAATGCCCCTTTTTTTTCCCAAATCTGCCCTTTTTTTCACCCAAAAAGACCTTTTTTGCCCAAAAATGGCCCTTTTTTGCCCAAAAACGCCCTTTTTTCACCCAAAAAGCCCTTTTTCCCAAAAAAATGCCTTTTTTCCCAAATCTGCCCTTTTTTCACCCAAAAAGACCTTTTTTCCCCAAAAATGGCCCTTTTTTGCCCAAAAACGCCCTTTTTTCACCCAAAAAGCCTTTTTTTTGCCCAAAAACGCCCTTTTTTCCCCAAAAAATGCCCTTTTTTTGCCCAAATCTGCCCTTTTTCCCCGAAAAATGACCCTGTTTTGCCCAATTCTGCCCTTTTTTCACCCAAAAACCCTTTTTCACCCCAAAATGCCCCTTTTTTTGCCCAAATCCGCCCTTTTTTCACCCAAAAAGCTTTTTTTTGCACAAATGTGCCTTTTTTTCACCCCAAAAAGCCCTTTTTTCCCCAAAAATGCCCTTTTTTTTCACCCAAAAAGCCCTTTTTTGCCCCAAAAAGCCCTTTTTTGCCCATAAATGCCCTTTTTCCCAAAAAAATGCCCCTTTTTTTGCCCAAATCTGCCCTTTTATCACCCAAAAACCCCTTTTCCCCAAATAAATGCCCCTTTTCCCCCCCAAAATGCCCCTTTTTTTGCCCAAATCTGCCCTTTTTTCACCCAAAAAGCTTTTTTTTGCCCAAATGTGCCTTTTTTTCACCCAAAAAGCCCTTTTCCCCCAAAAATGCCCCTTTTTTTTGCCCAAATCCGCCCTTTTTTCACCCAAAAAGCCCTTTTTCCCCAAAAAAAGCCCCTTTTTTTTGCCCAAATCCGCCCTTTTTTCACCCAAAAAGTCCTTTTTTTCCCCAAAAATGCCCTTTTCCCCCAAAAATGCCCCTTTTTTTGCCCAAATCTGCCCTTTTTTCCCCCAAAAAGCCTTTTTTTGCCCAAAAATGCCCTTTTTTCCCTCCAAAAACACCTTTTGCCCAAATCTGCTCTTTTTTCACCCAAAAAGCCCTTTTTTCCCCAAAAACGCCCTTTTTTTCACCCAAAAAGCCCTTTTCCCCAAAAAATGCCCTTTTTCTTCCCAAATCTGCCCTTTTTTCACCCAAAAAGACCTTTTTTCCCCAAAAACGCCCTTTTTTTCACCCAAAAAGCCCTTTTCCCCCAAAAATGCCCTTTTTCTTCCCAAATCCGCCCTTTTTTCACCCAAAAACACCTTTTTTGCCCCAAAAATGGCCCTTTTTTGCCCAAAACCGCCCTTTTTTCACCCAAAAAGCCTTTTTTTGCCCAAAAATGCCCTTTTTTACCCAAAAATGCCCTTTTTTACCCAAAAATGCCCTTTCTTTTCACCCAAAAAGCCTTTTTTGCCAAAAAAAGCCCTTTCCTTTTTTGCCCAAAAAAGCCCTTTTTCCCCCCAAAATGCCCCTTTTTTTTCCCAAATCCTCCCTTTTCTTGCCCAAAAATGCCTTTTTTTCACCCAAAAAGCCTTTTTTCACCCAAAAACGCCCTTTTTTTCACCCAAAAAGCCTTTTTTTGCCCAAAAATGCCCTTTTTTACCCAAAAATGCCCTTTTTTACCCAAAAATGCCCTTTTTTACCCAAAAATGCCCTTTTTTTTCACCCAAAAAGCCCTTTTTTGCCAAAAAAAGCCCTTTCCTTTTTTGCCCAAAAAAGCCCTTTTTCCCCCCAAAATGCCACTTTTTTTTCCCAAATCCTCCCTTTTCTTGCCCAAAAATGCCTTTTTTTCACCCAAAAAGCCTTTTTTCACCCAAAAACGCCCTTTTTTTCACCCAAAAAGCCTTTTTTTGCCCAAAAATGCCCTTTTTTTGCCCAAAAATGCCCTTTTTCGCCCCAAGAAGCGGTCTCTCACCGGGGCACCAGGGGTTGAAGAGGATGATGACGTCATTGCGCTCGTCGAAGGGCGCCGCGTACTCCCCGCCCTCCTGGGTGCGCGTGCGCACGCTCAGCCGGTAGCGGCCAATGGGGGCGTGGGGCGGGGCCGTGACGCGGAGGCGGAGGGCGTGGCCTCCGCTTGGCTCCGCCCCCTCCTCCTCCTCCTCCTCCTCCGCCGTCCAACCGGTGGCCGAGCTCTCGCCCAATGGGATGAGGACGTGAGTGCCCTTGGCCACCTGGGGGGTGGGGCCTGCGGCGTGACGTCATGGCGGCGGGAAAAAAAAAAAAGGGGGGGGAGGGGACGGAGGGAGGAAAAGGCGGGAAAAACGTCAAAAAAAAGCGGGGAAAAAACGCGGGAAAACGACAAAAAAAGGCGGGGGAACGACAGAAAGGGCGGGGAAATGACAAAAGGGGCGGGGAAATGACAGAAAGGGCGGGGAAATGTCAAAAGGGCGGGGAAAAGATGGGGAGAAGGCGGGAAAGCATTAAAAGAGCGGGAAAATGATGAGGAAAAGGCGGGAAAATGTTAAAAAGGCGGGGAAATGGTGAGGAGAAGGCGGGAAAGCATTAAAAGAGCGGGAAAATGATGGGGAAAAGGCGGGAAAATGTTAAAAAGGAGGGGAAATGGTGAGGAGAAGGCGGGGAAGCATTAAAAGAGCGGGAAAATGATGGGGAAAAGGCGGGAAAATGTTAAAAAGGAGGGGAAATGGTGAGGAGAAGGCGGGGAAGCATTAAAAGAGCGGGAAAATGATGGGGAAAAGGCGGGAAAATGTTAAAAAGGCGGGGAATGATGCAAAAAAGGAGGGAAAAAAGGTAAAAAAAAGAAGCGGGAAAACAGAAAAAAAAAGGCGGGAAAACGTCAAAAAGGGCGGGGAAAACGAAGAAAAGGGCGGGGAAAAGACGGGAAAAAGGTGGGAAAGCATTAAAAGAGCGGTAAAATGATGGGAAACAGGCGGGAAAAAGCTAAGAAAGGGCGGGAAAATTATGGAAAACAGGCGGGAAAAAGCTAAGAAAGGGCGGGAAAATGATGGGAAACAGGCGGGAAAAAGCAAAGAAAGGGCGGGAATGTGATGGGAAAAAGGCGGGAAAAGGTTGCAAGGGCAGGAAAACGATGGGAAAAAGGCGGGAAATCATTAAAAAGAGTGGGGAAATGACGCGAAAATGGCGGGAAAAATTTAAAAGGGTGTGGAAAAGGTGAGAAAAAGGTAAGAAAGGGCGGGAACGTGCTGGGAAAAGGCGGGAAAACGTTGAAAGGGCAGGGAAATGATGGGAAACAGGCGGGAAAAGGTTAAAAGGGTGGGAAAACGACATCAAAAAGGCGGGAAAACATTACAAGGGCGGGAAAACGATGGGAAAAAGGCGGGAAAACATTAAAAGGGCGGGAAAATGATGGGTAACAGGCGTGAAAAAGCTAAGAAAGGGCGGGAACATGATGGGAAAAAGGCGGGAAAACATTAAAAGGGTGGGAAAAATATGGGAAACAGGCAGGAAAAAGCTAAGAAAGGGCGGGAAAAAGATGGGAAACAGGCAGGAAAAGGTTAAAAGGGTGGGAAAAGGATGGGAAACAGGCGGGAAAAAGCTAAGAAAGGGCGGGAAAACGATGGGAAACAGGCGGGAAAAAGCTAAAAGTGCAGGAAACTTATGGGAAAAAGGCGGGAAAAGGTTGAAAGGGCGGGAAAACAATGGGAAACGGGTGGGACAAAGCAAAAAATGCAGGAAACTTATGGGAAAAAGGCGGGAAAAAGTTTAAAAGGTGGGAAAAAGCTAAGAAAGGGTGGGAACATGATGGAAAAAAGGCGGGAAAACGTTAAAAGGGCGGGAAAAATATGGGAAACAGGCAGGAAAAAGCTAAGAAAGGGCGGGAAACCGATGGGAAACAGGCGGGAAAAAGCTAAGAAAGGGTGGGAAAAATATGGGAAACCGGCGGGAAAAGGTTAAAAGGGTGGGAAAATGATGGGAAACAGGCGGGAAAACGTTAAAAGGGCGGGAAAATGATGGGAAAAAGGCGGGAAAACGTTAAAAGGGCGGGAAAATAAGGGAAACAGGCAGGGAAAAGCTAAGAAAGGGCGGGAAACCGATGGGAAACAGGCGGGAAAAAGCTAAGAAAGGGTGGGAAAAATATGGGAAACCGGCGGGAAAAGGTTAAAAGGGTGGGAAAATGATGGGAAACAGGCGGGAAAACGTTAAAAGGGCGGGAAAATGATGGGAAACAGGCGGGAAAACGTTAAAAGGGCGGGAAAATAAGGGAAACAGGCAGGGAAAAGCTAAGAAAGGGCGGGAAACCGATGGGAAACAGGCGGGAAAAAGCAAAAAAGTGCAGGAAACTTATGGGAAAAAAGGCGGGAAACCGCTGGGAAAAAGGCGGGAAACCGTGAAAAAGGCGGGGAAATGACGCAAAAAAGGCGGGAAAACGCGAAAAGAGCATGGAAATGCCGGGAAATGCCGGGAAATGCCGGGAAATGCCGGGAAAAAGGCATTTCCCCCCCTCCCCCCCCCTCTTTTCCCCCCCATACCCAAGGTGAGCTCCAGGCAGAGGCCGTCGCGGTCGCGGTCGAGGGGGCGGGGCAGGAGGAGGCGCACGGCGAAGCCCTGCCCCCGCCGCAGCACCGGCACCGGCGCCCGGAAGTCGGCCGTGTGGTGGGCGGCGGCGTCCCGCGGGCAGCCAATGGCGAGGCCCCGCGGCACCAGCTGCCCTGAGGGGATTGGAGGGGGAGGAGGGGTCAGCGGGGTCAGAGGGGTCAGAGGGGGGGGGAATGGATGGGGGGGAAGGGACCCAGAATGGATGGAAATGGACCCGAAATGGACAGAAATGGACCCAAAATGGATGAAAAATGGATGGGAATGGACCCAAAATGGACAAAAATGGACCCAAAATGGACAGAAATGGATGAAAAATGGACATGAATGGACCCAAAATGGATGGAAATGGACAAAAAATGGATGGGAATGGACCCGAAATGGACATAAAAGGACCTAAAATGGATGGGAATGGACCCAAAATGGATGGGAATGGACCCAAAATGGACAAAAATGGACCCAAAATGGATGGAAATGGACCCAAAATGGACGTAAATGGATGAAAAATGGATGGGAATGGACCCAAAATGGACATAAATGGACCCAAAATGGATGGGAATGGACCCAAAATGGACATAAATGTACCGAAAATGGACATAAATGGACGAAAAATGGACATAAATGTGCCCAAAATGGACTGAAATGGACCTAAAAGGGGGTCCCGCGGGCAGCCAATGGCGAGGCCCCGCGGCACCAGCTGCCCTGAGGGGATTGGAGGGGGAGGAGGGGTCAGCGGGGTCAGAGGGGTCAGAGGGGGGGGGAATGGATGGGGGGGAAGGGACCCAGAATGGATGGAAATGGACCCGAAATGGACAGAAATGGATGAAAAATGGACATGAATGGACCCAAAATGGATGGGAATGGACCCAAAATGGACAAAAATGGACCCAAAATGGATGAAAATGGACCCAAAATGGACATGAATGGAGCCAAAATGGACAAAAATGGACCCAAAATGGATGAAAATGGACCCAAAATGGACAGAAATGGATGAAAAATGGACATGAATGGAGCCAAAATGGATGGAAATGGACGAAAAATGGATGGGAATGGACCCGAAATGGACAGAAATGGACCCAAAATGGATGAAAAATGGATGGAAATGGACCCAAAATGGACAGAAATGGACCCAAAATGGACGAAAAATGGATGAAAAATGGACCCAAAATGGATGGAAATGGACCCAAAATGGACATAAATGGATGAAAAATGGATGGGAATGGACCCAAAACGGATAAGAATGGACCCAAAATGGACATAAATGGACCCAAAATGGATGAAAATGGACCCAAAATGGACAAAAATGGACCCAAAATGGATGGGAATGGACCCAAAATAGACATAAATGGACCCAAAATGGACGAAAAATGGACGAAAAATGGACATAAATGGACCCAAAATGGACATAAATGGACCCTAAATGGACAAAAATGGATGAAAAATGGATGGGAATGGACCCAAAATAGACATAAATGGACCCTAAATGGACATAAAATGACCTAAAATGGATGGAAATGGACCCAAAATGGATGGAAATGGACAAAAAATGGACATAAATGGATGAAAAATGGATGGGAATGGACCCAAAATGGACATAAATGGACCCTAAATGGACATAAAATGACCTAAAATGGATGGAAATGGACAAAAAATGGATGGAAATGGACCCAAAATGGACAAAAATGGACCCAAAATAGACGAAAATGGACCCAAAATGGACATAAATGGACCCAAAATGGATGAAAAATGGATGAAAATGGACCCAAAATGGACAGAAATGGATGAAAAATGGACATGAATGGACCCAAAATGGATGGAAATGGACAAAAAATGGATGGGAATGGACCCAAAATGGACATAAATGGACCCAAAATGGATGAAAAATGGATGGAAATGGACCCAAAATGGACAGAAATGGACAAAAAATGGATGAGAATGGACCCAAAATGGATGAGAATGGACCCAAAATGGATGAGAATGGACCCAAAATGGACATAAATGGACCCAAAATGGACATAAATGGACAAAAAATCGATGAGAATGGACCCAAAATGGACATAAATGGACAAAAAATGGACATAAATGGACCCAAAATGAACATAAATGGACAAAAAATGGACATAAATGGACATAAATGGACCCAAAATGGATGAAAATTGACCCAAAATGGATGGAAACGGACAAAAAAATGGATGGGAATGAACCCAAAATGGACATAAATGGTCGGAAAATGGACATAAATGGACCCAAAATGGATGGGAATGGACCTAAAATGGACATAAATGGACCCAAAATGGATGAAAATTGACCCAAAATGGCCATAAATGGACCCAAAATGGAGGGGAATGGACCCAAAACGGACAAAAATGGACTCAAAATGGATCAAAATGGACCTAAAATCGCATAAATGGGCCCAAAATGGGCAAAAATGGTCCAAGAAGAATGTAAATGGGGCTAAAAAGGGGGAATTTGGGTCCAAAAGAGGGAATTTGGGGCCAAAAAAGGGGAATTTGGGGCAAAAAGTGGGAATTTGGAGCCAAAAAGGTGAAATATGGGGCCAAAAATGGGAATTTGGGGGAAAAAAATGGAATTTTGGTGCCAAAAAGGCAGGAATTTGGTGCCAAAAAAAGGGAATTTGGGGCCATAAAGTGGGAATTTAGGGCCATAAAGAGGGAATTTGGGGCCAAAAAGTGGGAATTTGGGGTGAAAAAGGAGGAATTTGGGGCAAAAAAGTGGGAATTTGGGGTGAAAAAGGAGGAATTTGGGGCAAAAAAGTGGGAATTTTGGGTCCAAAAAGGGGAATTTGGAGATAAAAAGGGGAAATTTGGGGCCAAAAAAAGGAATTTGGGGCCAAAACGGAGGAATTTGGGGTCAAAAAGGGGAATTTGGGGCAAGAGGGTAATTTGGGGCCAAAAAGTGGGAATTTGGGTCCAAAAAGTGGGAATTTGGGGCCCAAAAGGGGAAATTTGGAGCCAAAAAGGGGGAATTTGGGTCCAAATAGGGGGAATTTGGGGCAAAAAAGAGGGAATTCAGGTTAAAAGGTAGGAATTAGGGGCAAAAAAGAGGAATTTGGGGAAAAAAGGGGGAATTTGGGGCCCAAAGAGGGAATTTGGGTCCAAAGGGGGAATTTTGGGCCCAAAAGGGGGAATTTTGGGCAAAAAAAGTGGGAATTTGGGGAAAAAGGGGGAATTTGGGGCCAAAAAGGAGGAATTTGTGTCCAGAAATGGGAATTTGGGGCAAAAAAGGGGGAATTTGGGGCCAAAAAAGGGGTAATTTGGGGCCAAAAAGTGGGTATTTGGAGCCCAAAAGGGGAAATATGGGGCCAGAAAGGGGAATTGGGGGGGGGGGAATGGAATTTTGGGGCCAAAAACTAGAAATTTGGCTTCAAAAAATGGGAAATTTGGGCCAAAAAGGTGGGAATTTGGGTCAGAAAGAGGGAGTTTGGGGTCAAAAAGGGGGAATTTGGGGCTAAGAAGGGGGAATTTGGGGCTAAAAAGGAGAAATTTGTGTCCAGAAATGGGAATTTGGGGCAAAAAAAAGTGGAAATTTGGTCCAAAAAGGGGAAATCTGGGGCCAAAAATGGGAATTTTGGGTCAAGAAAGTGGGAATTTGGGGCTAAAAAGGAGAAATTTGGGCAAAAAAGGGGAAATTTGGGGCCAGAAGTGGGAATTTGGGTCCAAAAAGTGGGAATTTTGGGCAAAAAAGTGGAAATTTGGGGTCAAAAAGGGGGAATTTGGGGCCAAAAAGGAGAAATTTGTGTCCAGAAATGGGAATTTGGGGCAAAATAAATGGTGGGAATTTGGGGCAAAAAGGGAGGAATTTGGGACAAAAAAAAAAGTGGGAATTTGGGGAAAAAGGGGAAATTTGGGGCCAAAATGGGAATTTTGGGCCAAGAAAGCGGGAATTTGGGGCCAAAAGGAGAAATTTGGCTCCAAAACATGGGAAATTTGGGCCAAAAAAGTGGGAATTTGGGTCAGAAAGAGGGAATTTGGGTCAAAAATGGAGAATTTGGGACAAAAAGTGGGAATTTGGGGCTAAAAAGGGAGAATTTGGGGCAAAAAAGTGGGAATTTGGGGAAAAAGTGGGAATTTGGGGCCAAAAAGGAGAAATTTGGCTGCAAAAATGGGAATTTTGAGAAAAAAAAGTGGGAATTTGGGTCAGAAAGGGGAAATTTGAGGCCAAAAAGGGGGAAATTGGGGTCAAAAAGAGGGAATTTGGGGCCAAAAAGGGTGAATTTGGGGCAAAAAAAGGTGGAAATTTCGGTGGGAAAGGAGGAATTTGGGCCAAAAATGGGAATTTTGAGCAAAAAAGTGGGAATTTGGTCCAAAAAGGGGAAATTTGGGTCCAAAAATGTGAATTTTGTGTCAAGAAAGCGGGAATTTCGGCTAAAAAGTGAGAATTTGGGGCTAAAAGTGAGAATTTGGGGCTAAAAAGTGAGAATTTGGGGCTTAAAATTGGGAATTTGGGGCTAGAAAGTGAGAATTCATGTCTAAAAGTGGGACTTGGGATGGGTATTATGGGATGCCCCCCCCCCCCCCCCCCCCCCCGAAAAGGTCCCGCAGGCTTCACTACTCCCAACGCCCCCCTCCTAGGCCCCAACAGCTCCCTATGGCCCTGAGGCTTGACTACTCCCAACGCGCACTGACCAGGCCGCGGGGCCTGCAGGCCGCGCCGAGCCGGGGCCTCGCGTGAGTCGGGCTCCCAGGGCCCCGCGGAGGAGCGGCCGCAGCAGGGCCCGCAGCAGCGGCACAGGCGGCGCCAGAGGCTGCCCCGGGGCCTGGGCCCCGCCTCCGGGGCCTCCCGAGCTCGGAGGCTGGCGGCGGCCCAGCGGCCTGGGTCCCGCCGGGGGTCGGAGGCCGCCATTGAGCTGAGGGAGGGAAGGGAACAGACAGAGGTAAAGGGGGGAAATGGGGTCTCTATGGGGGGATATGGGGGGTCTGTGGGGGTCTATGAGGGTCTATGGGGTCTCTATGGGTCTCTATGGGGGGGCTATGGGGGGATATGGGGTCTCTATGGGGGTCTATGGGGGGTCTGTGGGGTGTCTATGGGGGTCTGTGGGGGGGATATGGGGTTCTATGGGGGGTCTGTGGGGCTCTATGGGGGTCTATGGGGGGGTATGCTGTGGGGGTCTATGGGGTCTGTGGGGGTCTATGGGGGGGCTATGGGGGTCTGTGGGGCTCTATGGGGTCTCTATGGGGGGTCTATGGGGCTCTATGGGGGTCTGTGGGGGGGGCTATGGGGGTCTATGGGGTCTCTGTGGGGGGGATATGGGGGTCTATGGGGGGGTCTGTGGGGATCTATAGGGGGTCTGGGGGGTCTATGGGGGGGCTATGGGGGTCTGCGGGGCTCTATGGGGTCTCTGTGGGGGTCTGTGGGGGGGGCTGTGGGGGTCTATGGGGGTCTATGAGGGTCTATGGGGTCTCTGTGGGGGGTCTATGGGGGGATATGGGGGTCTATGGGGGGTCTGTGGGGTCTATGGGGTTTCTGTGGGGGTCTATGGGGGGTCTATAGGGATCTATGGGGGGATATGGGGGTCTGCGGGGCTCTATGGGGTCTCTATGGGGGTCTATGGGGTTTCTATGGGGGTCTATGGGGGCTCTATGGGGTTTCTATGGGGTGTCTATGGGGGTCTATGGGGGTCTATGGGGGCTCTATGGGGTTTCTATGGGGTGTCTATGGGGGTCTATGGGGTGTCTGTGGGGGTCTGTGGCGTCTCTATGGGAGTCTATGGGGGGCTATGGGAGGCTATGGGGGGGATATGGGGTCTCTATGGGGGGCTGTGGGGGGATATGGGGGTCTATGGGGTGTCTGTGGGGGTCTATGAGGGTCTATGGGGTCTCTGTGGGGGGTCTATGGGGGTCTATGGGGTGCTATGGGGGGGATATGGGGGTCTATGGGGGGGATATGAGGGTCTATGGGGGGGATATGGGGGTCTATGGGGTCTCTATGGGGGGCTGTGGGGGGATATGGGGCTCTATGGGGGGTCTATGGCGGTCTATGGGGGTCTGTGGGGCTCTATGGGGGTCTATGGGGGGATATGGGGTCTATGGGGGTCCATGGGGTCTCTATGGGGGTGTATGGGGATCTGTGGGGGTCTATGGGGGGGGCTGTAGGGGTTTACGGGGTCTCTATGGGGGTCTATGGGGCTCTGTGGGGGTCTGTGGAGGTCTATGGGATCTCTGTGGGGGTCTATGGGGTCTCTATGGGGTCTATGGGGTCTCTATGGGGGTCTATGGGGGGTCTGTGGAGGTCTATGGGGTCTCTATGGGGGTCTATGGGGCTCTGTGGGGGTCTATGGGGGGGCTATAGGGGTCCATGGGGGCTCTATGGGGTTTCTGGGGGGGGCTATAGGGGGTTTATGGGGGATCTGTGGGGGTCTATGGGGGTCTATGGGGGGTCTGTGGGGCCTGTTGGGGTTCTGTGGGGCTCTATGGGGTCTCTATGGCGGCTCTGTGGGGTCTTATGGGGATCTGTGGGGGTCTTTATGGGGGTCTTTGGGGCTCTATGGGGGGGATATGGAGGTCTGTGGGGTTTCTATGGGGTCTGTTGGGGTTCTATGGGGCTCTGTAGGGGTCTCTGTGGGGGTCTAAGGGGGTCTATGGGGTCTCTGTGTGGCTCTGTGGGGTCTTATGGGGGTCTGTTGGGTCTCTATGGGGGTTTATGGGGGTCTATGGGGGGTCTGTGGGGTTTCTATGGGGCTCTATGGGGTGCTATGGGGCCTCTGTGGGGCTCTGTGGGGGGATATGGGGGCTCTATGGGGGTCTTTGCGGTTTCTATGGGGCTCTATGGGGGGTCTATGGGTCTTGGCCTATGGGGGTCTTTGGGGTCTCTGTGGGGCTCTGTGGGGTTTCTATGGGGTCTCTATGGGGGTCTGTGGGGCTCTATGGACGTCTATGGGGTTTCTGTGGGGATCTATGGGGTGCTATGGGGCCTCTGTGGAGCTCTCTGGGGCCTCTGTGGGGCTCTTTGGGGCTCTGTGGGGTATCTATGGGCTCTCTATGGGGGTCTATGGGGTTTCTATGGGGGTCTGTGGGGCTCTGTGGGGTGCTATGGGGCCTCTGTGGGGCTCTATGGGGCTCTATGGGGGCTCTGTGGGGTTTCCGTGGGGCTCTGTGGGGCTCTATGGGGGTCTTTGGGGTCTCTGTGGGGGTCTGTGGGGTTTCTGTGGGGGTCTATGGGGGTTCTATGGGGCTCTATGGGGGGTCTATGGGGCTCTATGGGGTTTCTATGGGGGGGATATGGGTGTCTATGGGGTCTCTATGGACGTCTATGGGGATCTATGTGGGTCTATGGGGTCTTTGTGGGGGTCTTTGGGTTCTCTATGGGGCTCTATGGGGTGTCTATGGGGTCTCTGTGGGGGTCTTTGGGGCTCTATGGGGCTCTATGGGGTGCTATGGGGCCTCTGTGGTGGTCTGTGGGGCTCTATGGGGCTCTGGTGGCTCTATGGGGGTCAGTGGGGGGTCTGTGGGGTCTCTATGGGGCTCTATGGGGTCTCTAGTGGGGTCTATGGGGTGTCTATGGGGCTCTATGGGGTGTCTATGGGGCTCTATGGGGTGTCTATGGGGCTCTGTGTGGCTGTATGACGCCATAAAGGCCAATATGACCCAATCAGAGACCAGTATGGACCAGTATGGACCCATAAGCACCAATCAGAGACCAGTATGGACCCATAAGCAGCAATAGGAGACCAGTATGGACCAGTATAGACCAGTATGGACCCATATGGACCCATAAGCACCAATCAGAGACCAGTATGGACCCATAAGCAGCAATAGGAGACCAGTATGGACCAGTATGGACCCATATGGACCCATAAGCACCAATCAGAGACCAGTATGGACCAGTATGGACCCATAAACACCAATAGGAGACCAGTATGGACCAGTATAGACCCATAGGCACCAATCAGAGACCAGTATGGACCAGTATGGACCCATAAGCACCAATAGGAGACCAGTATGGACCAGTATAGACCAGTATGGACCCATAAGCACCAATCAGAGACCAGTATGGACCCATATGGACCAGTATAGACCAGTATGGACCCATATGGACCAGTATAGACCAGTATGGACCCATAAGCACCAATCAGAGACCAGTATGGACCTATATGGACCAGTATAGACCAGTATGGACCCATAAGCACCAATCAGAGACCAGTATGGACCCATATAGACCAGTATGGACCAGTATGGACCCATATGGACCAGTATAGACCAGTATGGACCCATATAGACCAGTATAGACCAGTATGGACCCATATAGACCAGTATAGACCAGTATGGACCCATATAGACCAGTATAGACCAGTATGGACCCATATAGACCAGTATAGACCAGTATGGACCCATATAGACCAGTATAGACCAGTATGGACCCATATGGACCAGTATAGACCAGTATGGACCCATATGGACCAGTATAGACCAGTATGGACCCATATAGACCAGTATGGACCAGTATGGACCCATATGGACCAGTATAGACCAGTATGGACCCATATAGACCAGTATAGACCAGTATGGACCCATATAGACCAGTATAGACCAGTATGGACCCATATAGACCAGTATAGACCAGTATGGACCCATAAGCACCAACAGGAGACCAGTATGGACCAGTATGGACCAGTATGGACCAGTATAGACCAGTATGGACCCATATAGACCAGTATAGACCAGTATGGACCCATATAGACCAGTATAGACCAGTATGGACCCATATAGACCAGTATAGACCAGTATGGACCCATAAGCACCAACAGGAGACCAGTATGGACCAGTATGGACCAGTATGGACCAGTATAGACCAGTATGGACCCATATGGACCAGTATAGACCAGTATGGCCCCCATTGCCCCCTATTCCCCCCCCCCATCGCCTCCCAGTCCCCGCCCGGCCGGCGCCGCCGCTCCCAGTACAACCAGTTCCCCCAGTCCTCCCAGCCCCATAGCGCCCCATAGAGACCCCATAGAGCCCCATAGAGACCCCATAGAGCCCCCATAGCGCCCCATAGAGACCCCATAGCGCCCCATTGCTCCCAGTACCTCCCAGTTGCTCCCAGTTGCTCCCAGTAGCCGCGGGTCTAGGGCAGAGCGATGGGGGGGGGGGGGGGGCGGGGCCAGCGGTGACCACGCCCCCTTCCTCCTTAGGCCACGCCCCCCTTGGTTGCTCCACACCTGCGGGCCCCACCTTGGCTCACTATGTGGCAACTGGGGGGGGGGGAATGGGGTGGGGTAATGGATCACTATGTGGCAATGGGGGGAATGAATGGGGATGGATCACTATGTGGCAATGGGGGGGGAATGGGGTGGGGTAATGGATCACTATGTGGCAATGGGGGGGAATGAATGGGGATGGATCATTATGTGGCAATGGGGGGGGGAATGGGGGGGTAATGGATCACTATGTGGCAATGGGGGGGAATGAATGGGGATGGATCACTATGTGGCAACGGGGGGATAAGGGGTGGGGTAATGGCTCACTATGTGGCAGGGGGTCCTTCGCTCACTATGTGGCAATGGGGGGGAATGGGGGGGGGGTAATGGATCACTATGTGGCAATGGGGGGGAATGAATGGGGGGTGGATCACTATGTGGCAATGGGGGGATAAGGGGTGGGGTAATGGCTCACTATGTGGCAGGGGGTCCTTAGCTCACTATGTGGCAATGGGGGGGGGAATGGGGTGGGGGAATGGATCACTATGTGGCAATGGGGGGAATGAATGGGGATGGATCACTATGTGGCAACGGGGGGGATAAGGGGTGGGGTAATGGCTCACTATGTGGCAGGGGGTCCTTAGCTCACTATGTGGCAATGGGGGGGGGAATGGATCACTATGTGGCAATGGGGGGAATGAATGGG